TCAGCAGCTTCTTTGGAAGCCAAAACCTGAAGTGAGGACAATCACTGCAAAGCTATAGTTACAAGTATGGAGTAGGAAGCCAGCATCTACCATAGCAAGACACTAGACACAGTATAACTTCAGTAAGAGATGCTTAGATCTCTCTAGAATACAGGGACAAGCTACTACAAGTCCAAAAATGCCAATTTCAGGTATTCATATGAAAATTACAGAAGGTCAATGTTGGGGTGAGCGGCGAGTCTGAGGAGCCCCTGATGAAAGATACAGAGGTGAAGGATTTTGACTTAGACATTTTGAAGCTGTTTCCCTGAGGAAAAACAGAGACCGTGAAAGACTTGAAAAGGTGCCAGAACTGACCAGTGAGAAAAGAATGTAAATAAGGAATGAACATCCAATTAGGTATGAAGGCTGGTAATAAATTATAGATAGAGAGCTAATAATAGTAAGGTATGTAAAGTTCTGTTAACAGTGTGAGTGCAGTAGGTGTGAGAAAGAGAAGTATTAAACGGGACGAAGCAATAAAAGCTGACTGTCGACCATCATCAATAAAGGTGCCCAATTTTATTTTTTGTGACCGTACTAACTAACTACAACAGGTCAAAGTAGTATCACAAGTACTGAGACTCTCAAGTAATTGCCAATCCTGTGAGAGACTTGCCAGTTTTAAGTGTGTTTTGGTTTTTAAACCAGCAAGATCTAGTCTTTCAAGATTCTGGTTTTGTTTGCTTTTTTCATCCGCCTTTAATCTGCTGAACATTAGTTGCAGAGTCATAGATATAATGTCAGAATAAGAATTCCTCAGAAGACCTGATGGTTCTATTTGCTCAAAGGCCAGAAGGATTCAATGACACAGAAGCCTACTGTAGATCTTTAACCAGGTCCATGGTAGCCTAGTTTATGGCAAGAGTAATTTTACTTGCCTGCAGATAATGGAGTATATCCAAAAAGAAACAGTAATTCACATGCCAAAGATACTGAAGAGCCAAACCTGAGAAATTTTTCCCATAAGGTCTTTGGAGAACTGCGATCCATGTTCCACTCATTCATCCTGAGTAGAAGGAATGGCCATGCTCATTAAAAACATTCAGATTCTGAATATTCCTGAAGCTACAAGGAGTTCTTGCAACCTGTGGCTGTATGGACATGGTAAGCCAAGTGAAAGACTCTGGGCCGAAGTCTCTAGCAGGACTCGAAGCCAGCTCTGGCCCATATCAAATGCATTGTTAAGATCAGTGTGGAAACCCAAGGCCACCAGAAGTAACATGAAGGCTCCAAAAAATAAAAAGCCTATCATCCAAGATTAACTGTCTACAGATGCAACATTGCCCCACCTCACGCAGGTGAGCTCAGAGCTCTGGTACCAAAGACAAAAAATAGCAGCACGACTGGGAGAGCTGTAGAACCAGCAGGATTATGCTTCCCTGCAACCCCCCTATGGATGGTGCAGCAGCCACTACCAATCCAAATGCTAGCAGAGGCAACCATGATTCTTGGAGAAGAATCATCTCCTTGGCAGATGGGATGGAACACAAAGTGCTGGGTAAATATCTTTCAAAGTCCAGAGCAGATGACTAAAAAGGTGTTTCTGAGTCAGGAAACTGTTCTGAAAGTTCCTTTCTGACAGGCAAATACAGCTTGGGGATGATGAGGTTTCCTCTGTTTTTTGGTGTTTTGTTACTTTATAAACCATCTTCAGCTCACATTCGAATGAGAATGAATTCCACAGAGCTCAAGGGAAACTGCCAAGATGACAAAGAAGAACACATGAAGGGAACAGCATTCTTCAGACACCTTAGGAATAAGTCACCTGTTAAGGATAGCTGATAACCGACAACTCCACAGCAATCCAGAGAGGATGGAGGCACTTCATCTTGCCAAGGCCATGCAAGAGGAACTAGGACCACACAATACACTTTAGCAGGGAACAGCAACTAAAACAAAGAGTTACTGCTCGGGCAAGACATGTATGATCTTGATTACTTACAGTGCACAAGTATCCATGCTTGTCCATATGCTGAATATGAGCAGGTGCTTGAAAGCATTGCTATAAATAATTTCTAACACATTTTCTTAAGGTAAAAAGGTAAATGAGACATGGACAGGGCTCCTCCTTGCCCTGCAGCAAGGCATTAGGGAGCCCATGGGGATGTCATCATGAATGAAAGCCTGAGGAAACCAAACTCCAGTGCTACTTTCACCGAACTGCTATTATTTTTATCAGCCCTATACTGTTAAAAACTGTACATGCTACTTCCTTCATAAACCTCATATATATATATATATATACACTTCATCAGTTTATACTTATTACTAAAAATAAGCAGCATATTTGAAGCCTGAGCCCTCATACTTACTTAAATTATACAAATGAGCTGTGGAGAAACCAGATGTGAAGACTGGAGATATATGCTGGCTTGCACAGAGTCAGACATAACCAGAGGCATGATTAGCAACTAGACTTCTGTTTCCGTATTTAAAGAAAAATGAAGATTCTCTACTTGTGGAGAACTAATTCTCAATATTGTCACCACCATGTGTTCCAGAGACTGACATCACAGATGAATTTTTAAAGGTTTAGTTCTAACAGCAAAGTAAGAATTGCTTGAAAGACTTTATTAATCATAAAATAACAAGAAGGGCCCAACTCCAGCTTGCTAGAAACACACAGAACAGTGTCCTTCCTGGGTTCCTGAAAAACACTTCAAATTGTGACTAACACTGACAATTGCTCGCTTTCATATTCAACTGAAGAAACAAGGTGCGAGGCGAAAGGAACAGTTCCCTCCAGCATCAAAACTCTCCTGAAGGTATGGGAGATGCACACTTAGTGAAACCAAGAAAGCAATGACAGACAATAGTTGGCCTTATTCATACAGATCTACATCATGATGTTCTGCAAGAAACATAATGAAAACATTGTTTTCAAAGTGGATATTGTTTAATCCCATCAGCCTGACAGTACAAAAACACTGCACTAGAACGAGTAATCTTGTAACTGCAATAAGGCAAAGGATAAGGACTCTCACAACCGATGCAGGGTTTAAACACAAGGACACATCTATAGAAACCACATCTGATACAGCCAAACACAAGGATGGATGAGAAGCCAGTGCTTCCCACAGTAAAAAATCTGAAATACAGATCTAGCCAAGAGATCAAACATCAAATCCCCATAATTTCAGACTCCCTACCAATAAATATGTGCAGTACACGAAGTCTCTGGTATATCAGGGCCCATGATACCACTGTATTGTCAATAAAACATAGTACCTAGGACTTCAGGGAATCCCTTAAAGCAACAAAAACAAAAAAAGAAATCAGGTGAAAAGCAGAACTCCCTGCCCATTACACAGTTAGCAGTTTTCGTAGACAGCAGTATTAGAAAACTGCCCCTGTAAAAAATAAAAGAAAAACAAATTGAGTCATCTTATACTTGATTCTGCAATCAGGTTGCAATTCTTCATTTTGGTATCAGTGATCTGTTACAATGCAACATTGTGGTGACTTCCCTCGGAGTAAGTATGTGCACAGAAGGTCACTGTCCATGCCAGTAGGACAGTGGCAAAAAAATCCAGAGTCCTACTGTGGCCGAGAGGGCACGGAGCAGCTGCACACAGACCAATGTGATCGATAGGCAGATCTCGTTTATTATGTGTTACAGCACTTGTTTTATAGTCTCACACACATACATGTCACTACATTATTGGTTAACTATAAGTACATATCGCTACATAATTGGTTTGCAATAGTTAAACACACTTCTTACTGCTTAGTACATGTTGCTATATGATTGGTTTATATGCACTGTCCATGCACTGTTCATGCTCATTAAATCATTGTCTTTCTCCAAGAGCTCCTTCCCATTATCTCAACAGTTAGCATTCCTGGAACCTGACATCAACGCCAGCAGTCCCCCTGCAACCAGCAAGCAGGCCTCTTGCCATGGCAGGCTAAGGCCTATTAGTACGGTTTGTCCATAGTGCCTGTTTTAGCCAAGCACCCCACATCCTACCACAGCCAAACAACCTTGAGATAGAGCCTCCAGGAGAATTTTAGTTAGCACCAAAAACATCTATAAGAGCAAGTGTTTCTGCTACAGACTAAACATAGTTGCTTCCCAAGTATTTAATTAGCCAAACCAGAACATTTTACAGTTGTTCTCAGACTGATTGTTCTATCATACCCCACCCTTGACTTGCATCTTCTCTCTTTCCCTAGGCAGGTAAATGTACATTTTGCTATTTTTAGGCAGGGTATGCCACCAACACTTTCCTAAATGACCATATCAATGCTCCCTCAAAGAGTCACTGAATCTTTGAAACTCAACTCCTAAAAATACTGTCCTGTAGTCGATGGATCAAGTTTTATGAATACAAAAATTCCACAAGTTTACTATAAAAATGAAATCAAACAAAAAACATACCCTAAATGTACTTAAAGGAGTACAAAAGTAATGCAGATGTGAGTTTAAGTCATTATGATACAGATACATAATTCTGTCTACTAAGTAAAAGTGATATAAAAAACCTACATGAAAAAATACTATCTTGTCAAAACTCTGCATCTGCTTTAATAAGACATGAAATGACCTGAAGAATCAGGACCATCTGAGCTGACAGAAGTACTTCTCTACCTGTTCAGTGCACCCACCCCAGCCTTTGCAAGCAGAAAAAAAAGGCTTGGGGGAAAGGATACAAAATAAAATTAACATGCACTAGGAAATGCAGGTGTCGTGAGAGTGGGCGGTCTAATACTTCTTATTGTACTAGTTTGTCACATTATCTATAAAAAAAAAAGAACTTTTCCAGCCATTGTTGAAATAAAACTCCAAACAAGACTATTACTGATCATTTTTATGTTCTTAAATGGCTGGTTTTGCCATGGCCAATGTAGTTATAGCATGCAGCCATAACAGACAGAATTTTCCTCCCCAAAGTTTAGTATTATATAATATACATTAAGCAACCTGTGATGTATAAAAATACAACATTGAAACTTACAGTATGTAACAAAATCCTTCTGAAAATCTTTCCTAGAGTCGACAAAGGCTCTTCCTTTCTCAGTTCCAACTACAAACACATCTGTTTCATATAGAGCAATACAGGCAACCTCTGCCTTGGACTTGGTAAGTTCTTTACACTAGAAAAAGAAAAAGAAAAAGCTTTTATTACTATAGTTAAGATATAGTTAATAGAAATGTATGTGATATTATGCTGCCAGCATCCACCCTTCAGAAGGTACTAGAAGCAACATAACACCAGCCAGTAGCAAAGCACAATTTACACACCTGGAATGCTTTTCATCAGAAATCTTAAAACCACCATAGATGCATTAGTGAAATTAAAGCCTTGTCTAGACTCAGAGACTGCACTGTTTCTAATTAAAATGATTTATGACATCAATTCATGTGAAACTATCACTTTCATATTAATCATCCTGAGTGTCTTAGTCCAACTCCTACTTTCAAGAGAGCAGACGGGAGTTTTGTTCATTCACAGTACACTTCTTGCACACCATGTTCTGTTCAGAAAGGTGCGGTTGCAAGCAGGATGGCTGCCTGCATTCTACCTTGTCCTGACTGCTAGGCCCAGGCTCAGGTGAATTCCTCCTGAACCAAAGGTTTCCACCGTCCCTGCAGACACCTACATATGTTAAGCCAGGAGAAATTTGTGGCAAGAATTAAGGCAGGAAGTCTATGGAGAGAAAACTGGTGAGATCATCAAGAAGTGATAACAAAAAGTCAATCTCTCCTAGCAACTCAGTCAGTTAGCTGCAACCTATACTGCAGCATGTGAGGAAAAAGTGACACAAAGAGTTTAAGAACCTAATATACTCAACGGGATAAAAGGCTTTCAACCCATTACTTTATAACTATCCCATTCAAAGTTTCATTGCTAAAAAGAAAATGTTTAGTTTTGCTTATCATTTAAAAAAACAATTTTAAAGAATCACATCTTTGGTAGTGCCTCAACTTAAGGAAACAGGGCATTTCCACTCACAGTCCTGGCCGACCTTAAACCACACCACAGAATAACTAGGTTACTTTTACAAAACCAGTGATATGCCAACTTAAAAAGAGTATTTTCTGAACAAGTTTTGTTCAGTTGGTACAGCAGCTGAGGACAAGGCACTGGCCTCAAAACAATTTATTCCCTCCACCTAGCAGATGACAAAAACCAGAACACACACTTTCCTTTCAACCACACTGTACCTAAGCAATCAACAAATATTTCCGGTTTATTTGACAAAATCATTTTTAAAACCACCACCACAACAAGAAAGATGACTGTTAGAATTATTTACCACAAGCAGAGACAGTTATAGTTGGTTGGACAGCACACAATAAGGTAGTAATACAACAATCCACCTTTCCTGCTGCCCAGCCAGAAGCAATATACTGATGTAGTCCTGCAAATACTAAGACAGAATTATGATGCAGCAGCGTAACTTCTCTACTAACCATTGACTCAAGTCCTGACATGAGGAATTTAACCACCATTCTGCTTTCCAAGGATTCCTCATCATGGATAGATGCTGCTGGTGCAGTAGCTTGAGCCATTTTCCTCCTATAAAATGAAAGAAAAAACCTTTTCAGATACACACAACAGTCAAGAAAATGAAAACCTCTTGTGCAAGTAGAGAAAAAAATAAATTCAAAACCCCACAGAATACAGCCCACCACACACAAGCAACAAAACAAAGAGGTAAATTAACAGGAGAAAGTGCTTGCTCTTCTATTCTTCCATGCTTTCTGATGTTTTATCCAAAGCAGAAGCCATGACCAGGTCACAAAACCTTTGTGCCTAGAAAGATACGTATTAATTGATTAGCTGAATTTACATAAATTTCTCTTTCTAAGTATGTTTGCAACTCCAACAGTCTAGATAAACACAGCAACAAACACTGGCATTAACATACAGAAATGGCAAATCATAATTATGATTCAGGTATTAGAACAATCTGCCCTGTAATTACCATGGCCTATTTCAAAACAAACCACCATCACGCTGCCCCAAAATCACGGCCTCAGAGTGTTGCCAAATTGTTGCCCCAAAAGGCGTGTATAAAACTGCTCAGAGACAAGTTTAAGTCTTTCAGCAGCAAGGTATTTATTCAAGCAACATTCGGGAACCCCCGGCTCTCGCCGAACACAGAGTTCCAAAGTAATCAGTGGACAGTGTGACTATTTATACAATTTTTGTGAGAGATTACATCATTTCTACATGCATATTCATAATATTGCAACATTTCATTATAATATTCATAGCAGGGGGAGTCTGGGTGGAGTCTTCTTTCTGGGGTGCTGTTTCATGGGTTGTTCCTGTTTCTTCATCCTCACAGGGGTTGTATTGTGAGTCTTCCTCACTTTGAACTACTCAACTTTCTTTAATTTTACTGATTCTAACATATATTTGGCAGGAGTTTCTAGACTCTAGCCCTCTCCTTTCCTCCTTATCTCTTGTGTCCTTCTTTTATGTCTATTTATGTATGGATGCTAGCATTTTAGTGATTTCTGTTTTCCTGTATTTTTACTTTATGTTCTTTTGTGTCAGTGTGTCCCTATTCTTTGGCAGTGTTATTTTCCGCTAGCCTTGAATTTTGATTCTTTTAGTTCTTTTACTCAGAGCATGCATTCTGAGTTAACTTCTTCAGGGTCCTGCTCTGTTTCAAGAGACTACAGTATCAGTAACCAGAACACAACACTCTTATGCCCGTATTCTTCAACTGTAGGATTAACTCAAAGTTAAGTAGTCTCAATTAAGGTGTTAAAATTACAAACTGAATTTCAGCAGTGACACAAAAAAGAGATTTAAACCATTTTCCTGTAGGTCATTCCAGAGACTCAACTTTTTTAAGACATAAGTAATAATCAAAACTAGTTTACGCTTCTGTTGGCAGAATTGCCTATACAAGAATGATATACGAGAATGAAGTTTCAGCAGCTTCTAAGAGCACGTTTTTCTATTGGAGTGTTGCAACTTGTTATGTTTACATATACCTAAAGCAATAACTTGACATGCCTAGAGGAGGAAGGAACTTGGAGATAATTTGGCTGTTCTAACTCCATGTGCAAGTCTTGAGGAAAATCACCTCAAAAGTCAAGATGGCTCGGATAAACGAGTCATTTCACAACAGGTTAATAAGACAAGTTGCTGATCATGTAGAACCTGGGCACATGATGTGGCTCAAGTTTTCAAAAGTGACATGTATCCTATTAGATGTGCAGACAAGTCAGGGCAACTAACTAACAAGTCAGTACAACTAACTATTGCATATGATAACATGTTGACATTGGAAAAAATGGCACTGTGTTGGTCTAGGGCTTAGTGCTCTTCAGACTACAAACTGGATGAGAGGGGAAAAAAAGACAAAACACCACAATTAGCAACACTACAAGCTCACAACACATCCAGCAGCCTTCTGGCTCTCAGGCACAGGCTGGCAAGGTGTACACAGCTTTAAAACAGCATTCTGGATGAACTGGCAGGGGCACAGTCACCAGTTGCTAGAGGCTGCTGGAGATGAAAGGTTCAAACACTGGCACCTGCTACACCTACCTGCCTCAGGCCTCCATCAGGAGTGGGGATGTGGAGGCAGAGGCTGACGGGATTATCCTTCAGAGAAAGAGGGGCTTTACTTGTGGAATATCAGAGGGAAAAGGGAGATTATGATATGACACAAAAACCTCAGTCTTTACTGAGCCTTGACTTTTGATGCATAATAGTTTTCAAGATCACTTCTGGAACTCCTTTACGGTTGGGATCTGACAGTGATTTTAAACATGATAAATTTTAGACTTTGTAAAACAACATATTACATTAAAAACAAGAGTAAACTTATCTTCTACTTTGCAAAGCTACCTTGTTCATAAAACAGACCAAGGAAATTCCAGAAATCATTTGAAGGCTGTGGATGCACACACAAATCCATAGTAGTGCCAGCTCAGGTGTCTCTCTCATGCAGAATTGCTCCTATCCCTGGAAGATGGCTTCTAATCCACAAGCACACAGTGGATCAAGCCAGAGACTGCTCAAGACAACAGGGAGAAGTGCTCCACTGGACCGGGTCACAGCCTCAGTATCTTAGAATCACAAAGTTAAGTTGGGTTATCATTGCACAACTCTTCTGATAACATTTGCAAAAGTCTTTCCAAAGTATAAATTCACAGTGTCTTGTATTTTTTGGATATCCATTATTTAACCAGTTTGTGTGATGCCAGATCAGTGTATAATGCAGATTCAAGAAACATCCTGTTGCACCGTGGAAGCACAAGAATACATTTTCCTACCCACTTGACAGCAAGTCACAAATGCAAGAATCAATTTTCTTTCCCCACATTTTGCCAGTTTCTCCCTTTCAAACATCAGTTTTCTCAACTATCCTTATTTAACCAGTGGGACATTTTTTATTATTAGAAAAAGTAGGCTATGGTTCAGCAGTTCTAATGAACCTGGCTGCCTTTCCAAAGCCCAGCTCTCAGAAAGTGTGTGACACCATGACTGTCCAATCTCCAGTAAATCCCCAGTTCAAAGCCTCGAAAAATTGTAACACCTTACAAATTGTCCCCAGAGTCAGGAAAAATAAAACTCTCTAACACTATAATTTCATTATTAGAAAGCAGACATTTATTTTGGGTGCAAGGTACATAGGGGATCTCTTCTCCTAACACCCATCTAACATATCATACCCAGCCATCTAACATATCAGCTTATATTTATGTAACTAATACACATTCACTACATTTCCTAAAACTCATACATATATGCTAAACATTTCCATGAATTCTTAAACACATTTAAATCACTTCCCAGAACTCATTTGAATTAGAGTAGGGGTTTCTTGAGGGTCTCTGGTTGTTGTTCAGGGAACATCCCATTCCTCAAATCATCCTTTTATGTTCCTAAAAACAGTTTCTTTTCCTTGAATGCATTCCACCTATGTGGTCTGGCCAAGATACGCCTTTCTAATGCCTTTTTATCAGCTTTTTCTCAAGGCTAAGATATTCACTTGCACACATGGGTGAATACAGGACTAGGCACTGTCTGATAAAGGAATTCACAAGAATAAGCACAATTTGCTAAAGTTAAAGATCTTTTCCAACACCATTACCAATCTGCTACACAAAAAAGCCAATTTAAAAACTATCTTCTATCCTTTGAATAGAGTACCACTATTTAAGATTATTATATCTAATAATCTTAAATCTTCCAGATCAGTTAATATTCATTATAATTATCTATAAGTCCTTTGGTTTAACTTTGCCAAAATGAGCCTTTGCCCAAATAAAGCCTTGTAACAATGAACAAAGTCTTGCAGAATACATTCTTGCCTGTGGTTTAACCCCAGCCACAAGTCAGCCCTGAACAATTGCTCACTCACTCCCCCCCGGAGGGATGCAGGAGAGAACTGGAAGGGTAAAAGTGAGAAAACTCGCAAGTTGAACAAAGAGAGTTTAATAGTGAAAGAAAAAACTGCACAGACAAGCATAGCAAACCAGAGAACTCATTCCCACTTCCCATTGCAGGCAGGTGTTCAGCCACCCCCAGACAGCAGGACTCCAGTACATGTAACGGTGACACCACTCTGAACATCCACCCCCCTTCTGCCCCCTGCTCTGGATGCTGAGCACGACAGCACATGCTCTGGGATGTGCCTGGGGTCAGCTGGCCAATATGGATCACCCCAACCCCTTGTGTACCCTCGGCCTCCTTGCCTGGTGGGGCAAGGAGCAGAAAAGGCCCTGGCTCTGTGCAAACACTGCTCAGAGATAATGAAAACATCCCTGAGTTATCAACACTGTGTCCAGTAGAAATCCAAAACATGGTCCCATACCAGCTACTGTGAAGAAAATTAACTATCCCAGTCAAAATCAGCACACTGACTGATGAGAAGGCCATGACATCAGAGCTAAAAAAATCCCTGGATTTTCCTTTTGCAAGGAGAAAACTAAAGAACAAATGTTACAACCCATCCCTAAAGGCAGGATAATTGAGGTTTTGTTAATAGATCCCTTGCGGTGGTTTAGAGTGAAAGGACACTGAATGACCAGTGTTATATATATGTATATGGCAGGTTTATTTTAGAACAATTTGGCTGCAATGTAAAGGAGGTATTTAGCCATTTTGGTTATTATTTATAGTAATATAACAATATATAAGTACAACGATAAGACCACTTAAGAAAACATATGTCCCAGTTTAAATGAGACACAGGAGTTTTGCTGAGGATGAGTTATGAGAAAAGACACAAACTCCTCCCTCTAAGCAATTATAAATCTGAAATTAAGAGGCTCCGGTTGAAGGACAAAAATATTGGAAAAGGAAAAATAACAGCCCCTTTTTATTAAAAGGTATGTCTGTATTGGCAGAAACAACAACAGAAAACAAGTAAAACAACCAAACAATACTCCTATACTCAAAAATAATCCCCTTCAAAACAAACCAATAAACAAGTAAAGAAAAAAGTAAACAGTTCAGTTTGTGCTCTTTGGTGCAATTCTAACCACAGTCCACAGGGGGTGCTGTTGGGTCCCTGGAGCTGCAGAGCCTGCAGTTCTCTATGCCGG